GATGTGTACTTAGCCCCGCCTCACACCCGAGGGACCTCTCAGTCCTATCACCTACCTCGGCTATAGAATTTACAAAGATGCTGGTCCTGTAAACACCGTCTGACATAGAATGAGACGGGTGATGTCAGGATTTGTAGTTTTGATTCCCGTTCTGCTCCCTTATTCATCATGGCCGACTCAGCAAGGAGACCGCCCTTCTCTTAAAGAAGAACTCCGGGATAGGCAAAAAAAATCACCCATTAGTACACCACCCTACACTAAACAGTTAATACATTTCAGAAATTCCTCACCATTGAAGAGAAAAGTCGAATTGAATTTTCAGGAATTCATCTCTGTAATTCAAAAAATGCCAGCATTGCTCTGCCAAGGAGGAAGTGTAACAGCCGGGGTTACATCAGATCCTCTCCTCTCAGGAAACTACACTTCCCATCAGCCTTTGGGAATGTACATGTTGAGTGTATGCTTTCCCATGAATGTAAATCATGCCCCCTCATTCTCCAGCCACACACAACAGTGCAGAGAAGAGGATGACAGGAGCCTGGGGGGGAGATGTGGGGTGGTATTTTGTGGGAAAGAGGGTGACAGGAGCTGCAGATACATGCAGAGAGGGGGGGGGGAGATGGGCGGTGGTATTGTGCAGGGGAAGAAGATGAGAGAAGCTGCAGATACATGTGGGGGAGGAGAGATGCAGGGTGCTACTGTGTGGGGGAAGGGGATGACAGGAACTGCAGATACATGCGGGGGAGGGGGGAGATGCAGAGTGGTAGTGTGCAGGGAAGAGGATGACAGGTGCTGTAGATACATCTGGGGCAGTAGGGGGGGGAGGTGCGGGGTGGTATTGCGTGGGGGGAGGAGACTGAGCAGACAGTACACTCGTTGAGAGTGGTGGCTGGGCTGAGTGTATGCAGGATGAGGGGGCAGAGGGTGAACGGCTTCTGGAAGGATTACTGGTGGCCAAGAGCAGAGGAGGAGCAGATCAAGTTTCGGAGACCACCCCCATGGGCAGTACAGACTGGCGGTCTCTGAGTCCCGGTCCGCACACTACAGCAAGCAGGGACGGAAGTACATCCCTGCCTGCTGTATAGAACTACAAATGGGCTGTACCAAGACTGGTGGCTGGTGGTGTAACGACTGTGCGCAATAGGGACATGAAAACTGTAGGCGACAGCCATCTTGTTAAGGTCTCAGCCATTTTGTTTTTAATGAGCAGTGATCTTCCTCCCCTCCCTCCTCCTGAAATCTCTGGAATTTCTAGCTGTAAGTGTTAAAAACATCAAAAGAGCCTCTTATTGTAACTAATACACATGGTATATAAAGATATTTTTGCCTGGAGTTCTGCTTTAATCGCCCATTGACTGTCTCTGCTTTCTCCTTCTAGCGGCAGGACGCTTTGTGCGATTTCTATAGCATGAGAGGTGGGCGTTATGTCATCACACAGGAACAGATGGTAAAATAGTTCGCTCCCCTGAGTGGCCAGCTGCTGACCGAGGATCCCTCCTCCGCACAACACTCTAAGTTATAATGAGCAGCAGCACTAAAGGTCCTCAGAGCTAGCCCCGCCCACTTCAGTCCTAGCCGTTTATCAGGTGTGTGCATGGCTCCGCCTCTCCACTGATTAGACTCGCCCCCACAAACTTGTTCGGTCCCTCCTCTGCACCCCATAGCAACCCATCTCCTCCCCTCCCTCAGGCCTGCCGTGTTGGTTGTTTCCCTGCAAGCAGAACAGCCACATTACACCTCTTCTCTGGCAAGCCAGCTGCAGACTGAGTCCCCTCTGGGCAATATTTTTAATTCCTACGGCACACCAGCCGTGTGCTCAGCCAATCAGGTGTGAGTGTAGTGCCCTGCCTCTCTAAAGGTCGCCTGAGTCAACCCGCCCCCTCAATCCTATTGGTTTATCAGTCCACAGGTGTGTATTTAGCCCCGCCTCACACCCGAGGCACCTCTCAGTCCTGTCACCCACCTCAGCAATAGAATTTACAAAGATGTTTGTCGTGTAAACACCGTCTGACATAGAATGAGAGGGGTGATGTCAGGATTTGTAGTTTTTGATTCCCACTCTGATCCCACATTTATCATGGCTGACCCTTCTATTATTCACCATTTAACTGTCTCTGCTTTCTCCTTCTAGCGGTCGGACGCTTTGTGCCATTTCTATAGCATGAGAGGTGGGAGTTATGTCATTACGCAGGAACAGCTGCTAAACACATCTGTTCCCCTGAGTGGCCAGCTACCAACTGAGTATCACTCCTCCCAGAGCTAGCTCCGCCCACTTCAGTCCTGTGTGGCTCCGCCTCTCGACCAATCAGACCCCGCCCCCTCAATCCTATTGGTTTATCAGTCCAGAGATGTGTACTTAGCCCCGCCTCACACCCGAGACGCTTCTCAGTCCCATCCAAATTTCAGTTGCCCCCCCCCAAAGCTAACTGCCGCCCTCCTCCTCCCTGGACACTGTACTTGTCTGCTGAACGATACTTCAGATTGCTGCAGTTTCTCCCCTGCAGGTTTGTACACATAATAGATGTACTGGCCAGTTTATCATCAGGTCTGGGGGGGGAGCAGCGGGGGTGGGGGAAGTTGCCTGTACCTCTCCCCTGTCATCTAATACTATTTATTTATTATTTATTTCAGGTACTTATATAATACAGGTCACTATCCCTCCATTACCTCTTCACTGTCTTCCGAGGCAGCTGGAGTTGGTGGGCGGGGCCGGGGGTGTGGCTGCCTCCTCCACTCCTCCCACAGACAGCTTAACACAGGAAGAGAAGTGGATACAGCAGCCAAGCCTTGGGAAGTCTGAGCACACTGTCATTACATACTGCCCCAGCCTTCCACCACACTGCCCCAGCCTTCCACCACACTGTCCCAGCCTTCCACCACACTGCCCCAGCCTTCCACCACGCTGCCCCAGCCTGCCACCGTGCTGCCCCAGCCTTCCGCCACACTGCCCCAGCCTTCCTCTACACTGCCCCAGCCTTCCGCCACACTGTCCCAGCCTGCCAGTACACTGCCCCAGCCTTCCACTACACTGCCCCAGCCTTCCACTACACTGCCCTATCCTGCCACCACACTGTCCCAGCCTTCCACTATAGTGCTCTAATCTGCCAAAATACTCCCCAGATTGCCACTATACTGCCCTAACCTTCCACTATACTGCTCTAACCTGACACTTTACTGCCACTATACTGCCTTAGCCTGCCATTATACTGCCCCAATCTGCCACTATACTGACATTATACTGCTCTAGCCTGCCACTATGCTGAACCAGCATAACCACATCTCTCATATACAGTCATGGCCGAAATTGTTGGCACCCTTGATATTTTTCCTGAAAATCAAGTATTTCACACAAAAAAGGTATTGCATTAACACATGTTTTGCTATACACATGTTTATTCCCTTTGTATGTATTGGAACAAATATAAAACAGAGGCAGAAAAGCAAATATGACATAATGTCACACAAAACCCCAAAAATGGGCTGGACAAAAGTATTGGCACCCTTAACTTAATATTTGGTTGCACACCCTTTGGAAAACATAACTGAAATCAGTCGCTTCCTATAACCATCAATAAGCTTCTGACACCTCTCACCCGGAATTTTGGACCACTCTTCCTTTGCAAACAGCTCCAGGTCTCTCTTATTGGAAGGACACCTTTTCCCAACAGCAATTTTAAGATCTCTCCACAGGTGTTCAATGGGATTTAGATCTGGGCTCATTGCTGGCCACTTCAGAACTCTCCAGCGCTTCTTTGCCATCCATTTCTGAGTGCTTTTTGACGTATGTTTGGGGTCATTGTCCTGCTGGAAGACCCAGGATCTTGGACGCAAACCCAGCTTTCTGACACTGGGCCCTACAGTGCGACCCAAAATCCTTTGGTAATCCTCAGATTTCATGATGCCTTGCACACAGTCAAGGCACCCAGTGCCAGAGGCAGCAAAACAACCCCAAAACATCATTGAACCTCCACCATATTTTACCGTAGGTACTGTGTTTTGTTCTTTGTAGGCCTCATTCCGTTTTCGGTAAACAGTAGAATGATGTGCTTTACCGAAAAGCTCTATCTTGGTCTCATCTGTCCACAAGACGTTTTCCCAGAAGGCTTTTGGCTTACTCAAGTACATTTTGGCAAACTGTAGTCTTGCTTTTTTATGTCTCTGTGTCAGCAGTGGGGTCCTCCTGGGTCTCCTGCCATAGCGTTTCATTTCATTTAAATGTCGACGGATAGTTCGCGCTGACACTGATGCTCCCTGAGCCTGCAGGACAGCTTGAATGTCTTTGGAACATGTTTGGGGCTGCTTATCCACCATCCGGACTATTCTGCGTTGCAATCTTTCATCAATTTTCCTCATCCGTCCACGACCAGGGAGATTAGCTACAGTGCCATGGGTTGCAAACTTCTTGATAATGTTGCGCACTGTGGACAAAGGCAAATCTAGTTCTCTGGAGATGGACTTGTAACCTTGAGATTGTTGATATTTTGCCACAATTTTGGTTCTCAGGTCCTCAGACAGTTCTCGTCTCCTCTTTCTGTTGTCCATGCTTAGTGTGGCACAGACAGACACACAATGCAAAGGTTAAGTGAACGTCTCTCCTTTTTATCTGCTTTCAGGTGTGATTTCTATATTGCCCACACCTGTTACTTGCCCCAGGTGAGTTTACAGGAGCATCACATGCTTGTAACATTCTTATTTATCCGCAGTTGTGAAAGGGTGCCAATACTTTTGTCCAGCCCATTTTTGGAGGTTTGTGTGACATTATGTCGAATTTGCTTTCTTTCCTCCCTTTTTTTGTTTTGTCCCAATACACACAAAGGGAATAAACATGTGTATAGCAAAACATGTGTTAATGCAATACGTTTCGTGAGAAATACATGATTTCCTGGAGAAATATCAAGGTGCCAACAATTTCGGCCATGACTGTATATGTGTGATTAAAGTATGGCATTAGGTTATCAGCCTGTGTGCAGTGATGGGATGGGAAAAGGAGTTCTGCTGAGTGCCCTGCCAGCAGTGACCCCTAACCTCTGCTGAGTTCTCCCTACAGTGACCCCTGTCCTCTGCCCTGCCAGCAGTGACCCCTAACCTCTGCTGAGTTCTCCCTACAGTGACTCCTGTCCTCTGCCCTGCCAGCAGTGACCCCTAACCTCTGCTGAGTTCTCCCTAAAGTGACCCCTGTCCTCTGCCCTGCCAGCAGTGACCCCTGACCTCTGCTTTTTGCCTTGCCAGCAGTGACCCCTAACCTCTGCTGAGTTCTCCCCACAGTGACCCCTGTCCTCTGCCCTGCCAGCAGTGACCCCTGACCTCTGCTTTTTGCCTTGCCAGCAGTGAATTCTACCTTTGCCTTGCCAGAAGTGACTCCTATCTTCTGCTCTACCTGCAGTGACCTCTGTCTTCCTTCCTGCTGATCCCTGTTCTTTGCCCTGTGGACTCTGTACACTGATCTAAAAGTTAATGGCTTCTGTTCCCTACACTACAAAGTGATATCCCTAGCCTCTGTCCTGGTGACCCCATGTACACTAACCTGCTGACCTCCCATCCTCTGCCCTTTGACCCCCCACATTGGACAGGCTAGATTAGTCCCTGATTACACCTCTTCTCTGGCAAGCCAGCTGCCGACTGAGTCCCCTCTGGGCAATATTTTTTAATTTACACTGCACACCCGCCGCACGCTCAGCCAATCAGGTGTGAGTGTAGTGCCCTGCCTCTCTAAAGGTCATCTGAGTCAGCCCACCCCCTCAATCCTATTGGTTTATCAATCCACAGGTGTGTACTTAGCCCCGCCTCACACCCGAGGCACCTCTCAGTCCTGTCACCTACCTCGGCAATAGAATTTATGAAGATGCTGGTCGTGTAAACAGCGTCTGACATAGAATGAGACGGGTGATGTCAGGATTTGTAGTTTTTGATTCCCGCTCTGATCCCTTATTTATCAAGGCCGACCCTTCTCTTAATCGCCTATTAATTGTCTCTGCTCTCCTTCTAGCGGCTGAAAGCTTTGTGCCATTTCTATAGAGTAAGAGATGGGTGTTATGTCTTCACGCGGGAACAGCTGCAAAACCCGAGCGCTCCCACTCTGATCCCTTATTTATCATGGCCGACCCTTCTTTTATTCGCCATTTAACTGTCTCTGCTTTCTCCTTCTAGCGGTCGGACGCTTTGTGCCATTTCTATAGCATGAGAGGTGGGAGTTATGTCTTTACGCAGGAACAGCTGCTAAACACATCTGTTCCCCTGAGTGGCCAGCTGGTAATTGAGGAGGACTCCTCCCAGAGCTAGCTCCGCCCACTTCAGTCCTAAGTGTTGATCAGCCCCCCAAGCTTGTTTTTTGTTAGGGACAAGCGCCATTTTTTCCTTTATTTAAAATGGCCGCCTCGGCCTCAGAAAATGCCTGTCCTCGCTGTCTAAAATCACATTTTTGGTGAGCGTGACCTGACAAAGGAAGAAGCAGTCATGCTTTCTCTGTATGCCATCGCTGTGCTGCAGAATGAGGATGTTCAGGTGAGGAGTTCAGGATAGTGATACTACCACAGCCGACTGGGGGTGGTGCAGGCCTGAGGAGGGGCCCTCACAGTGTCAGGGGCCCCTAACACTAAGGGAGCCAGACAGCCCTGCACCAACGTGAATGAAACCTTATTAGAGCTGCTGATATCTAACCCACGAGACACACAAAGTGGTAAACTAAGAATCTATAAAATGAGGCAGTGCTATTAAGTGTTAAAGTGCAGGTGCAATGATATACCAAACAACACTAATTGCAGTCCTTGCTTCACAAAAATAAATATATAAACAAAAAGTGAAGACATATTCTTAATTTAAATTGCGCACCTGCCGCGTGCTCAGCCAATCAGATGTGGCATGGAATCCAGCCTCTCTAAAGGTTGCCAGAGTCAGCCTGCCCCCTCAATCCTATTGGTTTATCAGTCCACAGGTGTGTACTTAGCCCCAGCAAAGACAAATGCTCCTGCGCTTGGGGATGGACTCGATGCAGGCTACAACCACATTAAGAATGTCCTGGAACATGCACACCTTGCTGCCCTCAAATAGACCGGGGGAATCCAAATATACTGAATGAGGAAAGGAAAAACAGAGGGCGCACAGGCCTAGTGCATTACCATAAAACATGTTTAATAAAAAATAAAGTGGGTGTTGTACTCACAAACGACAATATAGTCAAGGCACATCATAAAGAACAGCTGGATCAACACCGCGCTGAGTAACAGTCCGCAATGGGGAGTGTAGACATCCAATAGGCTGACGCGTTTCGAGGACTTGCCTCTTCCTCAGACCCAACTGACCAAATGTCTGCTCCCTCTTTTATATGCTCACTACTAGTTGAACCGAAGGTCACATGGGCCGTCCTGGACACCCCCCTATGCAGGTGGAGGAGTCACAGGGGCAATTGACATAGTATAAGTAAACACAAAAGATCTATAAAAATATATATAAATATATATGTATAAATAAAACCATTGAAACTAGTGACAATCATAAAATTATATGAACCATAAGAAGTGTGCAAATGAAAAATAAATAAGTAGAATGTTACACATATTTATATTAAAAATCCTTCCCTGGTGATGCACTGCACTGCTCGCATTTAAATAGATGGATGGATGAACAACGCTACGAAGCTGCCTAGTGCTCTGCTTGCCATAGACAACCATGGGACATGGATTTAATGAAGAGAGTAGATCTGAAACCAAGCAGAGACACTTATTAATTCATAGAAATGCAGCCTACAGGGTGTGTGCTTATCATTCTAGTATAGTCATATGTGATGAAACTTAGGCATGTGTGGCAATGCAGTGCACCATGGATGGATGTACATATGTGACACTATATACGGGGACAAAGGAGATAAATCACTAGTATAAACATAAATGTTGATATACAACGTTACAAAAAACTTCTTAATATGGTTTACAAAGTTTAAATAAAATAAAATGAAATAAGTATTGTTACAATATAGTATAATAGCTGGTAAAATTGGTATAGTGTATGGTATACGTGTGTATGCATAAACATGGAAGCATAAGAAATATAAATATATAGGAAATAAAAAAATAATAATAATAATTATATAATAAATGTGTAAAAGATATATATGTGTGTTATATATAAGAATTATATAGATGTCAAAGGTGTTATGGAACAAGCACTTGCATGACGAGAACGCAGTGCTTGGAGAGAGCTCACTGGACCACATGCGTGCGCACATGTGTGTGCAATCCCCCCTCTCAATCTATATCAGACGGTGTTTACACAACAAGCATCTTTATAAATTCTACTGCCGAGGTAGGTGATAGGACTGAGAGGTGACTGTAGATACATGCGGGGGGAAGGAGGCGGGGATGTTGTGTGGGGGAACAGGAGGACAGGAGCTGCAGATACAGATGCCTGAGTCAGCCCACCTACACTATCCTATTGGTTTATCAGTCCACAGGTGTGTACTTACCCCACCTCACACCCGAGGCACCTCTCAGTCCTATCACCTACCTCAGCAATAGAATTTATAAAGATGCTTGTCGTGTAAACAGCGTCTGACATAGAATGAGACGGGTGATGTCAGGATTTGTAGCTTTTGATTCCCGTTCTGATCCCTTATTTATCATGGCCGACTCAGCAAGGTGACCGCCCTTCTCTTAAAGAAGAACTCTGGGATAGGCACAAAAAAATCACCCATTAATACACCACCCTACACTAAACAGTTAATACATTTCAGAAATTCCTTACCATTGAAGAGAAAAGTCTAATTGAATTTTCAGGAATTCATCTCTGTAATTCAAAAAATGCCAGCATTGCTCTGCCAAGGAGGAAGTGTAACAGCCGGGGTTACATCATATCCTCTCCTCTCAGGGAACTACACTTCCCATCAGCCTTTGGGAATGTAGGTGGGTACACTAGGCCTGTACATGTTGAATGTGTGCTTGCCCACTTCAATGTAAATCAGGCCATGCCCCCTCATTCTCCAGCCACACACAACAGTGCGGAGAAGAGGACGACAGGAGCCATAGATACATGTGGGGGAGGGGGGAGATACGGGGTGGTATTGTGCGGGGAAGAGGATGACAGGAGCCATAGATACATGTGGGGGGGGGGGAGAGATGCGGGGTGGTAGTGTGCGGGGAAGAGGATGACAGGAGCTGCAGATACATGCGGAGGAGGGGGAGGCATACGGGAAGATGTCAGCCCTCCCCCTTAATCCCATTGATTTATAAGTCCACAGGTATGTACTTAGCCCCGCCTCATGCCAGAGGCACCTCTCAGTCCTATCACCTACCTTGGCTATAGAATTTACAAAGATGTTTGTCGTGTAAACACCGTCTGACATAGAATGAGACGGGTGATGTCAGGATTTGTAGTTTTTGATTCCCGCTCTAATCCCGCATTTATCATGGCTGACCCTTCTATTATTCACCATTTAACTGTCTCTGCTTTCTCCTTCTAGCGGTCAGACGCTTTGGAGTTTATTTACTAAAGCTGGAGAGTCCAAAATCAGACTCCCTTCTGCATAGAAACCAATCAGCTTCTAACCTCAGCTTGTTCAATGAAGCTTTGGCAATGAAACCTGGAAGCTGATTGGTTTCTATGCAGAAGGGAGTCTGATTTTGGACTCTCCAGCTTTAGTAAATAAACCCCTTTGTGACATTTCTACAGCATGAGAGGTGGGAGTTATGTCATTACGCAGGAACAGCTGCTAAACACATCTGTTCCCCTGAGTGGCCAGCTGCCAACTGAGGATGACTCCTCCCAGCGCTAGCTCCGCCCACTTCAGTCATGTGTGGCTCCGCCTCTCGACTGATCAGACTCCGCCCCCTCAAGCTTGTTTTTTGTTAGGGGCAAGTACAAAACAACACTAATTGCAGTCCTTGTTCACAAAAATAAATATATGAACAAAAAGTGAAGACATTAATCCAAGTAAATAATAAAGCAAGTGCAAATGAACCATAGTGTCCATTGTACCGTCCATGGATAGTGCTCCACACATATAAAAATGATCATATTCAGAAAAGTGAGAATTGTCGCTATTCCACACACTGCCCTGCTTAAGGCTTGGTTCACATCTGTGTGGGTGGTGGCGCTGCGTGACCAGCACAAATACCTGCAGCACCCACACAGAGGAATGCAGACCCGCGGGCGGGTGCCATTAATTCTGATGGCGTGTTCTGAGGCATGGGAGTCCATTCAAATGACTGGGCTCTCGTGCCCACGCAAATCACGGCCTTCACAGCCGCACATAGGTGAACCTGGCCTAAGCTGATTCACACATGTGCGGTGCGGATTGAAGCTCAGGTTTCACAGCTAATTGATACAGAAGTTGTTCACAGGTTCCTCTCAGGTTTACTCCAGTCCCAGGACAGGATTATCCTGTTCACTCATATGTGGTTTAGAGACAGTTCCCATAGAAGTCAATAGCCTGTAATCCGCACTGCTCAGAAATCAGACAGGACTCTTTTTTTTAAACCACACTGAATCGGCACAGGCAGTGCACCGGACAGGCACCATAGAAAGCAATGTTATTTCACATGTCATGTGGACTGGTTGCAGTTCAAACCGTATCCAATCTGCATATATGTGAACAGGCACTAAAGGTGTCAAGCATCCTATGTAGTCCCCTTTGACATATTAAACTCACCAAAAATAATAATAGTGGGGTCTCCATCCTTTTCTTAACGGTTATACAGGGATGATTAGCGGCTGGATTGCTTTTACAAGCGGTGAACACAGCGCCATTTTTAAATTGGGAAAGCATCGTATCGCACCAAACTTGGTGTGATCAGATGCCGTGAAGTGCAGAGGAGAGATTTGGGTTCTAGACACAAGATTTCTCAGTAAAGAGTACCTGTCTATGCCTAATGCTATCACAGGTTATTTATATTCCCTGTGATAAAAATAAAAGTGATAAAAAAAAATTAAAGGTCCCCTGTGCTCACACGCAAAGGCAAACAAACTTGTCGATCCCGCACGCGTGCAAACAACGATCGTCCCACACAAGCTGTTAAAGTATTTTTCTGATTTGTTGGCAGCTCCATCTGAATTGCATGAAGAAGCTCTCCACTATTTATTTGGGAGTAGAAGGGACCCACAAAGAGCTTCTGCTATTCCTGACAGGTGTGTCATGTGAGAGAAGATAACCCAACAGGGGCGGACTGACAACTCATGGGGCCCCCGGGCAATAGGGAATCATGGGGCCCCTGTGTCCTTGCCCAAACTCAAAAAAGCCTATGAAAAAGGTACCAGGGGCATCTCATGGGGTCCCCTACTGACCCCGGGCCCTCGGGCAGTGCCCAAGTTTCCAAATGGTCAGTCTGCCCCTGTAACCCACCATTCTTCTTTTTCCATTTACGCTTCTTATTAACTCTTTCCAGCAAGAAGGACCACTGCATGGGCTTCCCGGTCATGTGATCACTGTAATCGGCGGTCACAATGATTACATGATCAGAAGTCCACCCAACCTACTCCAGATCGCAAGACAGCACAGGCAATGTGCTGGGGGCACCCAGCACAAACAAGAGACCTTTTATGTATGAATATGTATGTGACAGCTGGGAGTTAAAGGCCATTATTGTGATGCTGCATATATGCGTGGGACCTGGGTTCAAGAGACACTGTCACCATATCTCAAAAAGACATAACCCAACCCCAATATACTTATCTTACCTGTGCTCCCTCATAGTGCTCACTACTAGAGAGGAACTCTCGCTTTTTGTTTTATTGTTCTAATGAGCTGTGAGCCAGGACATTCCCACAACAAAGAGGTGGGCTGCAGGATAGGAATGACCAAGCTCAAAGCTCAGTAGAGTAAAAAAGAACACGCTCAGAATTCAGCTAGAAATTACTTCAGGGAATATTGCTTTCAATGGGACTGCTTAATTGCAGCTAATCTCGCTGGGGTTCTCACATGTAATTTCCTGCAGGGTGCATTTACAGGTGTGAATGCATCCTAAAAGATCAGCTCATTAAGCGGCTGCTTCTTTTTTCACTGTCCAGTTTTGGAAGGAAAGGAGTCCTATACATTGCAGCAGAGAAAGATCAGGTTTCCTTCCCTGCCAGACAGGGCCCTGTGGTGTGACAGAGCTGTGTAACTCTCAGCATTGGATGGACAGAAATAAAAATCCTTTGGCAAGTAAAACAGCCCTCGTATATGGATTTTATTTATTACAGCTACTTGTGTAGCACTACCCTCTTGGGGGTTGCTAAGGATTTGGGTCCCCCTATAGTCCTGCACAGCCAGGCAGTCCGCATTCTCCACACAAGCTTGCACTCCGAGTCCGGAAATCAGTCCTTGAGCTGTTGTTTTGTATTTTGAGGGGATTTAACTGGGATAGGGTAAGAGGGGGTATAGTACCATCCTGAACAATTTAAGACCCACCTCCCTGCTCCCGTTTACCTCTAAACTCTTAGAATGCTTAGTCTACAATCGCCTGAGCTCCCACCTCACTGATAACAACCTTCTTGACCCTTTACAGTCTGGTTTCGCTCACTCCACTCCACTGGAACTGCTTACTAAAACTCACTAATGATTTACTAAATGCTAAAACCAATGGCCACTACTTCGTACTCTTACTACTTGACCACTCTGCGGCTTTTGATACTGTTGACCATCCCCTCCTCTTCAAAAAAACTCCACTCTCTTGGACTCTGCTCTCTCCTGGTTCTCCTCCTACTTATTGCAGCGCTCCTTCAGCGTTACCTATAACTCTGTCTCCTCATCTTCCTCTTTCTGTAGCTGTCCCTCAAGGTTCTGTCCTTGGACCCCATCTCTTCTCCATCTACACCTCCTCCCTTGGTCACTTGATAAACTCCCATGGCTTTAAGTACCATCTCTGTGCTGATGACATACGAATCTATCTTTCTACTCCTCAACTCACCCCTTCAGTCTCCTCTCGCATTACTAACCTACTAAGTGATATATCAGCATGGATGTCACTCCACTTCCTCAAACTCAATCTTTCGAAAACTGAGCTCATACTATTCCCTCCAGCCCGTGCCCCCTCCCCTGACTTCTCCATCAAGATCAATAATACAACCATCAGTCCCTCCCCTTATGCCGGGGTACTAGGTGTAATCCTAGACTCCCATCTGTCCTTTCAACCCCTTATCCAAATCTTGTAGACTTCACCTCCACAACATCTCCAAGATACGCCCGTTCCTAACCAGGGAAACCACTAAGCAACTTATTCACTCCCTTGTTATCTCTCGCCTTGACTATTGTAGCTCCCTCCTCATTGGCCTACCTCATCGCAGGCTATCCCCTCTTCAGTCTATCATGACTGCTGCCAGACTCATCCACCTCACTAACCGCTCCATATCTGCCATCCTTCTCAGCCAATCCCTCCACTGGCTTCCCATTGCCCAACGAATAAAATTCAAAACTTTAACAATCACATATAAAACCATTTATAACTCTGCCCCAAATTACATCACCAATCTTGTTTCCAAATATCACCTAATCTGTACTCTCTGCTCCTCCCACGATCTCCTACTCTCTAGCTCCCTTGTCTCCTCCTCCCATGCTCGGCTTCCTATGATGGCACACCAAGAGGAGGAGCCAAGAGTGTAATCGGGGGACCACAGAGGAGGAGGTCTAGGCCTCTCTGTGCAATACCATTGCTCAGAGCAGGTAAATATAAACCTGTATGTTATTTTAATAAAAAAAAAAAAGACTTTATAATCACTTTAAAATGGAACTACTGTATGAGCAAACTAAAAATTACATATACATATGATGCAGTCTGTCAATAGTAATGCAGCAGTCTTTGCTTTGCCCCCTCTAACATAGTTTTATTACCCGTGGATCCTGCCAGTAATTCTGTTATTTTTCACTTTCCTTTAACAAACCAAGCTGAGACAAGCATTTAACACTGTCAGGGGTATTTCCAATTACCAGCATTTATTCACATAGTTAAAATCTTTATTCCAAAAGAAAAAAAAACTGTTGTAACTACTTGTGTTCAGCTTTTTTTATTGGTGACTTTTTAAAGTTTGTTTAAATGTACTAGTCTACCTTCTGTACAGGTTGACAGTGTTGCTGTTAATGAGTGACTGCATTGCTCTTGCATAGATACAGTGGAAGATGAAGCATAGTCACCATAAGACTGGAAGTGTGTTACTGTCCACATCACCAGCTGAAAAAAGGAAAAATATGCATGGAAAAGAATAACTAATGCAACCACTGCATCTAAGGATTAAATATATTATCTAATATAGTAAGTTTTTGTTTTTATGCATATATTTTAAAGCTTCCTCTTATTTCATCCATATCTGCCAAAATACATTTGAGTTCTTCAGTATGCTGTAAGTTTGTATGTATTTAAATTACATGTAAAGGTAAATATTAAAGAAACAGAACTGTATAAAAATAGATTTATTTGGAATAAATAAATAAATATTAACATAAAACATATGTACATGGTAAATACGCCATGCTTCCGTCTATTCATTAATATCACAATAGTGCCTCACATCATATACCTCACAAGTATTCTTTCACAGATTCTCAACACTTTCTGCCCTAAATGACATATTGGTGACCCCCTTCTCCTCCCCAATTGCCCTTTTAATTTTTCTACTCCTCTTTCTACACCTAAACCAATAAACAAAGGAAAAGATCCCTAAAAGACCTGCTAGTACTGCCAAACCAATTCCTACTGCCAAATAAATATATGATGCATAGGGGTCATAGGTATTATAAATGCCACACGGACCTGAAATGCGTTCCTGACTGGGCCATTCTTTTTCTTCATCCTTTAGCTCCACCTGGCTTTCTCCTGCATCATTTATGGCCACTACACACACCCTGTAGGTTGTGCCTGGGACAAGGTTTGGTATTGAGAAGATGCGATAAGATTGATTAAGTAAGGGTCCTTGCTCCAGTGGACCTTCTGGAGCACCATACAGCACCCTGTATCCCTGCACTGTTGATAGAGGGGAGCACCAACTTACACTGATGCCTTTCTGTCCAGGAGTTACGACATGTAAATGTGGAGCATCAGGAGAAATAGTACGTCCACTTATCCCTGGACAAAGGCATTTGCCCCCTGCACGCTTCTGTATTTCTCTGCATGGGAGCTCCAGATGCTTGCAGCGGTCAAAGGGGCAGGCTTCATAAGATACTTGTGGGGGCAAAGTGAAATGCTTCTTGTAACTGGTATCCTCTTCATCCTCATAGCTGTCATAGTCAATGTCTTCAGTTATAAATTGAATTCTTTCTCGTGTTGTCTTCTGATTTTGCGTGATCTTGCGTGGTTGAGGAACAGAAGACTGTTCACCTTTGTAGTCTGAAGAATCTGTGGTGAGAGGACTCATGGTGTAACTCAGTGGTACTGTGTTGTTTTTGTTATCCTCTGGTTCTGCTGTGCTATTCTTCTCAGCATGCAAACCTGTGATGAGTTGAAGTAGTAGTAGGCAAGAAAGAGATAACTAAAAGAATCACAAAGGGACAGAAATGTCACAAGAAGGGAAGAGAAAGATCAAAGAAAATAAGAGAAAAAAATTAATTACTGAAAACTTGATAGAAAAAAAATCTGCAAAAATATGTTTTGCATCTCCAATAATATTTTCATCAGTGTTTTCCAGTCTACCAGAACTCCCGTAAAAGAAAGATTTTACAGGAGTTCTGTAAAAGATGCTTACCTTTCCTGCCACCTATTCACAAAATCTTCTCTTGGTTGCTAAGCAAATCTGCCTGAAGCATCTTCACTTCTCTGATTCCTCCTGATGGTCCCTACATTACTACTGTGTCCGGTTGTAAAGAAGGGCCCCAGAGGTAAAGAAGGGCCCAGCGGGAGGAATCAGAGAATCCCACACACCCAGGACTGTCATGTGAAGATCCTTTGGGTAGCTTTACTTTGCAATCAAGTGACGATTCTATGAATAAGTGGTGAGGCAGGAAAGCATAAAGTGTCTTCTTTTAGTGCTTCATTTTAGTTTTTTTACGCACAGAAGAATGTTAACCAACAAAATGGTACAATCTACGGGAGGCTGGACTAGAAACAAAATCATTCTTCTTGATGAGGTCACCTACTGCACTTGATGTACTACCAAATCTCCATTTACATTGGATACTATTCATCTCATGTCTGTAGGCAGCTTTACAATTATCAGCAAATGGGTACAGGTAAATAGACTCTTTGCTTTGCAAGGGAATTTTCCCTTAGCTTAGTGAATGAGGTGAAGCTCTGATGACTTTCCCATCCAATCATGTGCAAGCATTGAGTCTTTGTATATGATTGTGTATTCTCTGCAAAGTGCATCTTTACCATATTCATTAAGCTAAAAGAACATTTCCTTGTAAAGTAAACAGCCATTTTTTCCTTTTGTAAATCAACTCCATAAATGTGCACACTCATGGCTTATGAACAGTATATCTAAAGGTGTGTGAACCAACACTGAAGAGCTCTAGCTCAAACAGGACATATGAATTGATGCACCCAGGACTCCAGCAGGCAATATGTCATCACCTAAGTGTAGCAAGGGGATAAACACATAGGGGTTGATTTACTAAAACTGAAGAGTGCGATGAGGTGTTGGAAAATGTAAAACAAGTCTCCCCTAAATTACCTGGTAGACTTACCCAACTTTATGTCCTACATCGGGCATATCTCACGCCAATACGTGTCTCTCGCTATCGTCCTGGCTGTTGCCCTCTCTGCCCGCGGTGTTGGATGTCATCTGGTAATTTAATTCATATCTTGTGGTCCAATATTTTGTAGCCAGAAAGTCTGAACAGTCGGGAAGACTGTTCAGACTTTTTGGCTACAAATTATCAAATTTTTGCATGACCATGTGGGCTCACCCCTTCAGTTGGATCCTGGAGTGTGCCTGTTGGGCTCCTTACCAGATATGCCTGAGGATAAGTTTTTAGTTATTCTCCTCCATGAAACTTTATTCTGTGCACGTAAACTCCTTGTGCGCTACTGGATGCAGACAACCGTTCCTACTTTACAACTATGGTTATCAGAGGTCAACTCTACCATACAAGAAGCTTATGTATGCTCACAGAGGATGCCCCTCGAAATAAAACAGGATTTGGGACAGGTGGCTTGCCTCCTCGGCTACTTAGCTGGCTGAGTGCTTGGGGAAACCCGTTGTGCAATATATTGTGAGGGTCTTGCCCTCAATTCACTACCCTGTTTGTTGTTCTTTCATTGTGACTGTGTGACCCTACCAAGGGTTCTGATCCTGCATTGTGGTGTTTTTTTCCTGTTGCAATGCCATCACACCCAAGCCTGTATCTGTACGTTGTTGCTTTATAATTTTATCAGTGTACCATGCGCTATATTTGTTGATGTTTATTATGCCCCGACCTGGGGGCTTTGATTTGTTTTCTGTCTTTATCTTGTTTTATTTTCCTCCTTTTCCTTATTACTTATACCTCTTCTTCTCTTTTCTTATATTTTTTGCATCATTGTCTGTGGCTTGAATGTTATATACTGTTTTCCTTTATACTTTCACAATAAAACCTGGAAGCTGATTGGTTGCAGACTTTGCACTCTCAACTTTTATTAAATCAACGCCATGGTATATACAGTATTCGGGGTCAGTTTCCAGTCAAAAGTCCTATAGCAATGGCATACTTGAATTGTTGGTTCAGAGCACGCCTCTGCCATATTAACAGCTTTAAAATTTTACATATCTGTCTAGAAAAATTATAGATGTAATTTCCGTGTACTAAGACCACTTGTCATAGATATGGTACAGTTTTCCCTTACAATTTGTATCTACTAATCAGCATATGTTGGGTTTACATTATGATAAGCATTCATGTTTTCTGCAAAAAAATAGACAACAATGTGCTGTATCCCATAGTAAACAGTTAAATTCACCATTATTTCCTGTCTGATCACAGTAATTAGTTAAATGTGAAATTGATTTGGCATTGTTAGTGAGATGCAGAAACAATGCTTGATAAATAATTAAAAATAGTTGGCATTCTTTCATTTTATATTTCAATGGCTGCTTTTTTTATTAATTTTAAACAGTATAAAACACAAGCAACAAAACACGCCCACGCAGGGGCTATCAATTGCACCAATAAAAAAGGCAAAATAGAGCAGACAACGCTCTAATTCTAATAAGGCAAAATCGTATGCCCACGCAGGGGCTATCAATGGCACATAGATTACAATAACATCAGTGAGACTTTGATTATCTCAACTAAAGACAGCTGTCCACTGTCACATCAAAACAAACAGAAAAGGAGAGAAGAAGAGCAGAGAAGAAAGGGAAAAAAAAAAAAAACACACCAAAGAGCAGGGGTCCACGAGCGCCAATACCAAACTCCATTACCTCCCCACACTGGTCGGGGGGGGAGCGTGGGAAAGGCGTATTGCAACCAAGGCTCCCAAACTTTCAAAAATTTATGTTGAGAGTCGTTGCATATGCTCGACATCTGTTCGTTGAGCATCATAGTAGTCATACGATTGTTGGATCCCGCACCCCCTGGAAAAGTACAAACGGACTCTTCCAGGCCTGAGCAATTGTCCTAGTAGCCGATAAAAACAAATAGGAAGCCAACCGCTGCTGACGAGCCAAAAGGCCCGGTATGGGGCAATGAAGCAAAGCATACCGAGCATCCCGGCGTATAGAGAGATGGAAAAAAGTGAAAAGGAGGCCAAACACACGAGACCAAAAACGAACCAACCTCGGGCATGACCACCAGATATGCAGTACATCGCCGCGATGGCCACAACCCCGAAAACATCGATCACTACAGGCAGGGTTAGCCTGGGCCAGACGAGCTGGAACCCAGTACCAACGGAACAACACCTTGTAGGCTGCTTCAGCATTCTTTCATTTTGACACTGTACATGTTGTAGAATACATACCAGATCTTGCTGAGAATTTCTTCAGAATAGAACACATAATGCCAGTCATATGACCATGAAATTCCACTTTTAAGCTTCTACTTCTAAATCCAAATTTCAGCCTTTGCTATCTTTCTACTATAATATCCCAGGACACTTTGCTACTGTGCCTGTGTATGTAACCTGATAACATATCAAACTGTTTTAGAAAACAAGAAGTACAGTATACCCAAATAGGGCATTCTGTTAAATTAGCTGAATTTTGTAGATAATAATTTAATGTGGCACACAAAGCAAAAGAGTGATTTTTGGTAGTAACATGGTCATGAATGTCACCTAAAGCCTGGAAAAAGTTAACAAACTTTCTGCTCAGTCGTCGTGCCATGACTTGCATTCAGCAGCTGCCGCATAAAGTTCTAGTTCAACATGTGGAAAGTGAATTTCATTACCTGTCTCAGAAATAATTCTAGCATGCTTTTTTACTTACCTTTGTGTTACAAGCCATCTTAGAATTTCTATTTCCTGCAATTTAATAAATCTCGGTGAATATATCCTTTCTTTTGTAGTGGTTCCCTTTTCTGTACTCCGACGTTTTTTGTTTCAGATTAACAGAAGTGTAATATTAGGAACTGAATATTTGTCTCTTCCTCCCACATGCTGTGCCTCGCTTTATAGAGCTTGTGAGATTGTGATGTCACTTGACTCGATCCTGATTCACTGACTGGGTATGTGCAAATAGAAGGGGAGGGGAGGCAGACAGGCAGAAGCAAATCTTGGGGGGACACCAGAGGCGGATGGAATATCATCTCCAGATGTGGAGAGAGCTGTGGGAACCTGTCTTGGAGATACTGAACTCCAGATGTGCAGACACCCAGGCTCTGTGTTTTATATGGGTGGGTCACTAGCAATTCTTCCCTACAAGGAAATTTTCTCTGATAAATCTGAATAACTATGCTATTGGGAGAAGTGTTTACATTCTTTGCAGTCCTGTTCTTTATAGTGCTCAGAGAAATGTTTGATCTCAGTCTGTTCACATGACTACTTCAGTTTGAGAATGAACAAGGTGAATGCAGGTAACATTACTGTCTGATGAAAATGTGACAGCATGGAACAATTGATCAAAAAGTTATAAAATGGTAAGCTTCACTTAGTATAATTTATTATGCCTGGAGTCATCAGAATAAATAAACAAACCCTGGCCTAAAAGCCCAACTCTGAGCAAATTAAAAATGAATACTACTCCAAAGTAAAGGTTTAATTAAAAACAAAAAAATTAAGCCCCCCTCCTCTGCTGTGTAAATCTTTTTTTATTATCCTCTCTTCCATATTTTGCCTGTTCTGAGACCCTATGGGGTAATTATTTTCCTTCTTTCTTTCTTTCTCCTTCTGTTTTTTTTTTTTTAATAAGTTGGTCCAACTTTTATCTTGCTATCAAATAAGTGCTGCATATCAAAGCAAACAGATCGATTAGGGCATAAGATATAAAACACACGGAAGGTCCAATCGGAACCACCTGTCAGTTTTTCAGGTGAACCTGATCGGATAGTCCATTCACCCCTATGGACAGGAAGGTATAAACGGACTTGTGCCTGTGTTACACCCACCTAACTCTAGGTCTGGTCGGCTCAAAATCCCAAAAAAAATAGGAGATCTGTCCTCTTCCCTTTGTGTGGATCAGATCGGAAGGTAGTAGGGTGTAAATGGACAGTGGAGTCCAGTTACATCCAGCCACCCATAGCCCTGAGCAGCTGCATGTCTGTGTTCAGGTGGGCAGTCAAACTGCAGCTCAACCATCTAGTTTTACCCCCCCCCCCCCCGCAATACGTGTTAAAAAACCCTTATAGAGGTTATGTTTAATTTGTTTTCCCAAGGAAACTAAAGCTTCCAATTGGAACATTTTCCTAAAGGGACACAGTTCTTTTTCTAGCCCAGTTTAATGGGAACCTCTCTCTGTTCACTTTGCAAGACAAATTCTTCTGACTTAACCCCAGCCACCTGACTATTTATAAACTAGACTCAAAAAGTACCTAAAATGACAGGTTTATTACCTGGAAAGCAAAAGGTGGGATCTCCCATTAATAGGTACTAACACCTTGTTACAGGTGCAGACATGCAATATGTTCTATTCTTGTGCAGCATATTAGTGTGAACTGATACCATAGGTTATATGCTTTCTCTGGGACTGTGTTACGCAACGAAGCCCAAAACTGCTGGTGCGAATGGGCCCTTGCAAGCAGGCTGTTTTTTGTTCTGACTCAGCTGAACTATCACATACCTGGTCGAGGCCAAGCCAAAGGGCTGCCCTTACACCTTTTGTCCACTTTTCCCCGGGATGATGACAGGGTATCACAGCACACAGAGTGGCATGGAGGCCTGTAGGAGATCCGGTTCAGAATATCTTGGAAGCAGATGCAGAGCTGGAGCAAGCCAACTGGCAGTAGGAAGATACTGGATCTCAGATGTGTAGTCAGACGGACAGAGGTCAGAAACAACCGGCCAGCAGGAACTCACCATCAGGAACCAGGAGCAGAACCAGCCAAGGTTAGCATAAAGGGAGCAGAAGATGTACTGGAACAGCAGTCTGGAAGCAAGGTCGGGTCACAAGCCAGAGTCATCAGCAGAGGTTCAGGAAGTAGCAGGAAGAATAAGCCTGGTCAGGATGCAGATGAGCACAGTATCAGCCACAAGCAGAAGGAGTTGATGACCACTCAGCAATGAACCACTCAGCGTGAGTCCTGTAATGCTTTAAATAGACCACTAGGCACCAAAGTCCATCAAACAAGCAAGCTCAAGCACATGAGCACATGCATAATGCTAATGCTCATGTGTATGTGCACATGCCCATATAGATGAGCTCAGTGTCCTAATGCTGCGCAGGGTTCTATGGACTGGTATGAACACATTAGCATTCCTTTGAGCATGGGCATTCCTTAACCGCTTCCATACTGGGCACTTTTACCCCCTTCCTGCCCAGGCCAATTTTTAGGTTTCAGCACTCTCACACTTTGTGTACAGTGTTGCATGATCACGCAATTGTTATGCAAACTAAAATTTTATAATTTTCTTCACACAACTAGAGCTTTCTTTTAGTGGTATTTAATCACTGCCGGGATTTTCATTTTTTGCGAAATTAACAAAAAAAAAAGACTGAAAATTTTGAAAAAAACACGTTTTTCTTTGTTTCTGTTATGAAAGTTTGCAAATAAATAATTGTTCTTCATAAATTTAGGCCAAGATGTATTCTACTACATGTCTTTGGTGAAAATAACCCAAATTAGGATGTATTATTTAGTTTGTAGGAAAGTTATAGAGTTCACAAACTATGGTATAGATCTGAAAATTGATCAATCCTGATGAGTACTGACAGCCAATCTAATTTCTTGAGGTCCAAGAATGTCAGAATAGTACAGATATCCCCCAAATGACCCCTTTTTGCAAAGTAGACAGTCCGACGTACTTCATAAGAGGCATGGCGAGTTTTTTGAAGTTTTAATTTTTATGTCATTTTTTGGAAATGAAATTAAAAAAAATGATTTTCAACTAGAATACCCCAAAAATCTCCATAGGTGACATTTTAAAAGCCTTTACAGCTCACCAGTTTAGAGTAAGACCCCTTTCACACGGGTATTCCGTTTTTTTCATCAGTTCAATCACTTTTTTACAAGCAAAAAAACGGATCAGTTTACATCCGTTTTTCATCCGTTTACATCTGGGCGACAAGACCCTATAAAGATGGACAGGTATGAGGAAAAATAACAAAGGGAAGGATGGGCAGGGGAGCAGGTCAAAGGATCTAAAAGGAAGGCTGAGGAGAATCCAGAGGACAGACCTGAGGTAACTGTTGACCCCGCCCAGTAAAAGGAGAGGCTATGCAGGTCAAAGGTTACACTCATTGGCCAGCTGCTTCCCGCCAAAAGATTTGTCCCCAATCCAGCACTCAGCTGACTGAACATCTGCCCAGAAGCTGAGGTAAATCTTCCTAGCAACAGCAAACAGCTTGTAACCTGAAACACAAAACAGAAAGAATCAGCAAAGCCGCCCCAGAGGAACCTGTACTTAACAGTCACCATAACCCTCTACTAAGAATAGAAGTAAATTAAAACAAATGGGTGATAGGGGTGACAATCCCACGGGGCCACTTTTTCAGTTTTTTCTTTTGTGGCCCTAACATTCTGATTCATCCCCCGGTCACAGTTCCTATTAACCCCTTAATGCTCAGAGCACTCCACACAAAGACCTCTACACAGACCTTAGGCCTCCATGAGTCCAGTCCCTCTCCCAAAGGTTCTAGGGGGAGCTCTCCTCCTGAGAGGCCATCTTTTCTCTAACAGCTGATGGCACAGAAGGCCTAGACTGGTCATTTAATGCTAGGCTCACACTGCTGCGCTCCAATTTTGATCTGACTTTCAGTGCAATTATGTAGTGCAACTTGGATTCTACTTTGAAGTGGTTTGCATCTTCTATGGGCCAAAACTGCTGGAATTCCACCAAAGTAGTATAGGAACCAGTGATGCACCAATACATCAGCCACCGAAATAGGGTTTATCAGCATTTTGCCGATAGAAAAAAAAGGTGTTGATAATGTCATTGACTTCAATGCAAAATTGCATCTATTGACTCCAGTGCAAAAAGGCCCATTATTGACTTCAATGCAAAATAGCGTCCTATTGACTCCAATGCAAAATCATGTCCCATTGGCTTCATTGCAAAATCGTGTTCTATTGACTCCAGTGCAAAATCGGGTCCCATTGACTCCAGTGCAAAAACGCTCCCTATTGACTTCAATGCAAAAACGACTCAGTATTTATGTTTTAAAATTTTATACATTTCATAAAAAAAGTAAAAAAAAGGATTTTATCTGTCCAAAACGCTTTATAAAGTGCACTTTAAAGGCATAGTACTGTACAGGGACATGATTTTAAAAAAATCGTAAATGCATTGAAAACCAATTAATCCGTTCCAGAGGTCAGAAGAAAGTAAAAAAAAAATGTTATCTGTTCAAAACTTGTAGCCTCCCTAGCGGTCTGATTATGTCAGTGTTTCTGTGCTCAAAGCGGTACATTTTTTTTGCATGGAAATATGTATTTTTTTTATTGTAGGCCTGTAATTTTTAGGAATAACTCACTGAAATCTGTCCGAACAAGAGTCTAGTAAACATCCCCGGTATGATAACATTTGAAACATCATAAATTATAATTTAATAAATAATCATAAAAATAATATAATAATACATTTAATTCAATAATATAATCAAACCAAAAACACTGGAGTTTGAAATATAGCGCCAAGTTTGCACATCACTGAGCAAAGTCGCAGAATCGTTTTCAGTGTCTGATGACGAATTTCCCCACGAATCATTATCACTCAATTCTTGAAGTGGTTCTGATTTACTATCGCTGTTCTCTAGCTGGTCTAAAACCGCTTTTGACCTAAAGGGACGCTTTTTGGACGTCATGGACATTTCTCAGTTTCCAGGCAGAAAGAACGGTAAAAATGCAGGCAGGG